CAGAGGAGCCCCAAGGCTGAGAGAAGCAGCCCTTACCTGCAAGGCATTCTTAAACACTGAGGTCCTGTCTCTTATTCCCCTCCAGCTGTAGCTAGACTGTTCCACCTGAGCCTCCTGGCTGTCAGCCTGCTATAAATAGCCTAATGTCCAACTTGATAATTCATAGCACTAGTGGCCATGCAGTGGCTGAAGATGAAGCCCTTGTCTGCTCACCTGGGCTGAAGGGTGAGGAGCAAAAGCTGCAGAGGAGAGTGCAGCATAAGGGAGACCTTGTCTGTTGATTTAACTCCATAACCCTATTTTAACCACTGTCAACAAGATAGAAGGGTGGTTTCTGTTTACACTGAGGCTTCTTTACACTGCTCTGTCCACACCCTGAAGTGGCATAAATGCCTTCTAAGTGGCTTAAAGTAGGTCCTTAGTATAAATGAGAACCAACCCCGTCGTTTGCAAAATGGCTTTGAAAACATGGCCTGGAGTATCCTATAAATGAATGTGGGTTTTTGGAAGAACACCCAGCCCCAGGCATGCCCGTGCTATACATAGCCTCTGATGAGCTCAGCACAAGATGAGGAGCAGGCAGCAGAAGGCAGAGTAACAGGCAACAAGACTTTTCTCCTGAAATAGCAAGCAGGGAGAGCCTGGCATCCTGCTGATCCCAGAGGATTACCAGCAAAGTGGGAAAACAAGGTTATCAGACCCACCCTTTCTGTAGCCTGCTGCCCTCACTCAGACTCTCAGAAACCCTCACTGGGTTTCTCTTTCCTTTCCACTCTGTTTGCATTCAGCCCTCCAGTTTTGTGTCCTGCACTAAAGCAAGAACCTGAATCCCACCCCTGCCTGGAAAAATGAAAAAATCATTACATTTTGCTCTTACCTCTTTGTGTTTTGCTCTAAGATGTCACTTACCTGTTTGGCACAGCTGCTGTCAGGAAAGAAGACACAGTTTTGTCTGCAGCACTCCTGGTACAGCAATTTCTGTGTAGATGATCAGAGGATAAAGCAGAGGGCTGGAGCAGGAGGAGGCAACAGTTAACAAAGCCAGACACAATGTCAAAGGGATGGAAGCTAAGATAAAGAAAGGGGGTATCAGCCTTACATGTTGGATGTTATGCTGTTTTCCTCCCTGAGCCAACCAGGACATAAACTTTGCAATAGCATTTTAGAGCATTTTGTGGCACCAGCAAATAGGAAATCCAATAACTGCTGCACTTATTAGGACAGTAGCAGGCTCATGAGAATGAGTTTCAATACCCTTCCCTGCTTATTTTTGAGCTCCACTCATTAAAATTTCCTTCAGCATTTCCAGCAAGGGAGACAGTTTGGCAGCAGAGAGAAATGGGGAGAACAAGTACAAGTTGGGCATGAAAAAGCTCAAATAAAAAAATAAAGGTCCATTTAACAGCAGCCTGGTCAGGTGGGGAGGAGGTAATCTAAGTTGTATTTTACAGCACTTCTCTGTTAAACACTTTTTCCAACCTGTTAATCTACCTTATCCTTTATGCCATAGGGATTTAGAGACAAACCCTGATTTTCCTTTACTCTCTGGTTGTTTCAGGAAAGGATACATCTTATTCCTGGTGGGGTAAAGGTTGACTTTTAATGCCTGGGTACTGGGCCATTTTATATTATTTATTTTTTTGGTTAAACACATCCCAATCTCTCTTGGGCTCTCCAGGGAATACTCCGGTCCCCAGGAACAATCCCAAATAGCTCTTCTAAACACAATCCCAGCTTTGGCTGAGCATTAAAGACAAGGGAAGCATTCATTCTGGAAAGGTTTTATTTCACAAATAATTCAGAAATAAAAAGAAATTAGGGGGGGGGAGAGGGAGAAGATATTTTACAATTCTGTATTTAGAAAAAATTACAGTTTATAAACAACCACATGGCCCCTTGAGTAACATGCAGAGGCACAGAAAAAATGTACAAGGAACTTTTATACATAGGAAGTAAAATACATCATTTTTCATAGAAAAAAAAAAAAAAAAAAAAAAAGCAACTCTATGAACTGGCCCTAAATATTTAGACTGCACAACCAACCAACTGGAGACTCTGCATTCAGCTCTTGGCTGAACAGCTTAAAGTGAAGACACCAGTGAAATGAGTGGAGCCCAAGGAGCACTGAGGCAGCTGGGGAAGCTCCAGACTTTGGGTGTCACCCTGGTCGTGTCTTCTGGAGACTGGGCTATTGATGCTTTGCACTGGCAGTGTCTGCACTGGCAGTCTTAGCTTCAAAAATTAATTTATAGGAAAAGAACCAGCGTTGGCTTTGCCAGGGGTGTAACCAGATGCCCCAGAAAGGCTACACCAGGGTGCTTCAAGCTGGCCCAAGCTCCTTCATCTGCTGAGCTGGGGCCTGGGGAGGAACAGATCTGAGGATATAAAGAGCTGCTGCATCTTTAAGCTGCATTGAAACGTATTAGGCTTAGAAATGTTTTTATATCAGATACAAAATCAGCACATATTTGGCTAAAAACAGGCACTGTCCCACCTACACACGAATAGCTAGCACACATGATTGCAAGTGACTGCCTTGGAGGACCTGATCGCCCCTAGTTCTGGTGGAGGTATGTTTCAATTCATAGCACCCAGGACCTCGAGTAATATTTGTGTAGTAAAGTCAAAATTTCTCTTTTGTACAACAAATATAAAAATAAACAGATACAGACTTAAATTAACATTGCTTTCTAAAAATCCAAACCAGTTGGCTGAAGAGAAACGTGCGCAGTCGTCGCTGGAACTCAGCACTTTAGGATATCTCTGCTGGAATAACAGTTCTTCCCTCACCTCCTTTTTGTCAGGGAGATGCACCTCAAGCTGCTTGGAATTTTATGTGCTCACGACAATCCCCTGGGCTTTTCTCCAAGAGCCCTCCACCATTTTACAGCACAGGTAATGGTGGGATCCTACGTTAGCATCAGGACTTTTTATGTGCTCCTGCAGCCCCCATACCTAACTGCATCTCTTATAACTTCCAATGCAACAAACAGACCAGTGACTACCATTTGGCCCATGATGGTCCTAGATTCATGCTGCAGTTTTTCATGGGCTTGAACCAGACCATGTCTTAACATAGTTATTTACAGTGGGCAGAAGCAGGGAAGCCTTATCTCTCTGCCAAGATCTCAAAAGATTCCAACCAGCAACTTTTCTAAGATATTTTCCAGCTGTTTTTAACCTAGTAAGAAAAAAAACAGTTCAGCTTTCCTATCTAAATCAAACACTGTACACCTTGGAAGATGATACTATATAAACAAAGATGACCAGAGCAATTTCTCTCTATCCACACTTAAGGTAGGTTTCCTGTCCAGCACTTTCGGAGACCATGCAAAGCAGCTCGAATTTCATACTTTACAAAAGATGTCTTCCCAAATTCAGCTTTCACAGAGAAAGAAACCCCATTGGAGAGACAAAATGAGTGATAAAAGTCATTCCCTTGCTGATTTCATGGTATTTCCAGAATTAATGAAAAGCTGAATCATATAAATATTTTTGGTCTCTGTTTTGAAACAGCTTGAGGAGATGGCTTTTCTATCAGTCTAGATTAAACCAAACATAGGCTGAGTGTAAGAGCAGCTATGAGAGACATCTGCCAAATAGGGGAACATATCTTTTCCCATTTGTTGTAAAATACTACAATTAGATTATTGAGCAGAAGGACTATGCATTTGCCAGAACTGAAGAACTAATTTTTGCATCACCTGCTCATGGGTCATGAAGGTACTGGATGTGTGTGCATCAAAAACCAACCAGATTTGTGTTCAGACCAATTCTAAAAATTCAATTCCAATATGAAGCAGAGAATACTTTCCTGCCTGGAAGAGCAGGTCATGCTGGGCTCTTCTCTTGGCTTTGAAAAGCATTTGGATGCACGTTGAGACATAAATAACAAAATATCATTACAACACCTCCGGGTTTTGCAAAACATACCATCCTGGATGATGAATGATCGTAGGTTCAGCATTTACACTAAAAGCTGGGACCTGTTGGTGTCACAAATTTAACAGGAAAAATTCATCTACCCCAATTTATGCCATATCTGTGAAGTCTCAGAACTGCACACACCACAAAGAGCTTCACCAAGGTGAAGCAAATACGTTTCCTATGGCTGCAACGATTCCTACCAGAAATAAGGTTAACTTTATCACTACTTAACTACTACAGATAAAACAACCAGCACTGCTGTATTAAACAATAAACTGCATTTAACTGAAATTCTATTGGAAATGGTGTGTAGTTTAGTTAGGATGAGATGTGCCAGCACAGGAGTCCTGATTCACCCACTTCTCACAGGTTGCCAGACATACTGAATACCTGCGAATGTTTGACCAGCAAACATTAAACCTGCTACTTTAATTATCTGGTGGCCTCATTTCCTACAGCAAGGATCTCAGCCACCACTTCACACCCTACTCTAGTCCCCCAAAAACCTTGATGCCCAACCAACAAGAACATCCTGTCCTCAAAGGTGACACCATCCTATGACATAGCCCAGCGCGATGCCCCAGCAGCCTTACACAGCGGTGCTGATGTGTGTCACCTCACTGGAAAACCACCACAGTTGCTCTTCTTTTGCACAGAGAACATCAAACGTACACTAAACACTTTACCAAAAGCCCAGCCTTTCCTCAAAAGACGCAACCTTGAAAACAGTTTCTTATTTCAAAGAGTCCAGCCCCTGGACAGTCGCTCACTCCAGAGCCTGCCCAGCAGGGCACATCCTCACGCCCATCGCAGGAGGTGCTTCACTCCTTAAAAATGCCACCCAGGGCCAGGCTGAGATCCCTATGTCACTGTCCACGGAGCCACCACAGGTCTGTGTAGCACACCTCTTTGGTACATGGAAAGTTAGAAGAGTTTGTCATTGCTGAATGCCCCTAGAGGAACAAAAAGACGAGAAGATACAACGCTGAACGGTGCCATGAGATGCAAACAGCTGAGTCAGAACCTGGCATCTTTCTTGGCTTGTTTTGTCTTTTTTTTTGTTTGTTTTATCTTTTCTTTTCTTAATTCCCTGAAAGAAATCGGCAAGGAGGGTATGGTCAGAGCTGATGCCATCAGAGGAGCCTTCCTGTCTCTGGAGATCCACAGAGTGCTCTCCCAAAGAAACCTGCACCTCCCCGAGGAATTTACTCCTTCACAGCAAAAACTCGGAAGGCTTGGCCGTCTGAAGGAGGCTTCAAGCTGGAGAAGGAGAGAAAAGAAAAACAAAACACATGTGAGGAACCAAACACAGGCACTGCAGGACTCCAAGGGCAACAGAACTTCAGGCACCTCTGAGTTTCTTTGGGGTGCACTGCTTCAGCACCCTGGCTCTCTGCTGATGTGGCCCTGCTGGGAGCAAGAGAAAGGTGAAGGATGAAAAAGCAGAGGCAGGAATCCACAAGTTCACTTTTGGTTTCTGCTCTCATCCAAATTCACAGTGCTGATGCCAACAAAAGGAGCTGTGAAGCAAAATCCTCCTTTACAGTGCTAGCTTTTATCCAAGGAACACTGTGCTCCCTTATGCAGGGATTCAGTCCCAGAGAGGATCATGCTTTCCTAAAAACTGTTGTCAAATAGACTGGCAGGTTCCCAGGGCCTGCCTGGCCCGTGTCCTGCTGCTGGCAATGGGAGTCGCCAGATCCACTCATGTTAAATGACAATAAATACAGATATTCATTTTCAATCTGCAGAGGTGACTGTAGGTGGCTGTGTTCTTGGGGATAAGGGGTTGTTTCTGTTCCCAGCCCTTCTTTCTTCAGCTCTACTGGGTTGCAAAAACTCCAGGAAAAAGGCAAAATTACATATTCTCACAAAATAAATATTCCAACAAGTGTAAAGACTCAATAAAACTTAAAGGCAACGTTTTCCCATCCCTGTTTGGGTATCAATCTTTACCAGAGGTTATTTCCAGTGTCCTAGAGGATCACTTTGATCTTTGAAAAGCTATTTTACTGCCCAGTGGATCTCAGAGCACAAAGGTGCTCCTTATTACTGGGTGTAAATAACATTTTCCAAACTTTCACACTCATCCCTTCTGTGAGAAAGTCTTTGGTTTCCCTCACCTCCTAAATCAGCAGCTGATGCTCATATTGCATGTCCCTGCTAGCACTAGAGTTTATTCTTAGCTAGGGCAAAGTTTGCCATCCAAGTTAAATTTAGTTAAATCCAAGTTAAAGATAAGTGAAAGCAGGACAGAGAGAGAAGAAAACTCATCCAAACAGGAGTTTTCTCACATAAATCTAATCTACCAAAGTGCAAATCACATAACAGCAAAATGCTGATCATGATATATCTATACTAAGGAAGCCCATATTTAATGCCTATAGCTTTCCTTTCTTAGTCTGTTTTGGTTTTCTGAGATGATCTGCAGCATTCTGGGATATCCATTGGAGTAAAAATAGGAAGCTTGTTTGGATTTCTTATGCTAATTCTAAAAGGGGAACTACATAGAGCAGACAAAGCCATGTTAGTACTGAACAAACCCCCCCACAACTGTGGGAAATTGTACATTTGCAAAGATAGCTGTGAGAAATCAGTGCCATCATATCAATAGCCAAAAAAAGTGCATCACAGACTGAAAAAGAAGTTGGAAATTGGAAAGAATTGAAGGAGTTGCAACTTGATCTTTGCGATCACTGGAGACAGAAGGTTCTGGAGGAACTGGTTTGCAACTGTACACTGAAGTTGGCAGATGAGCCCAAAAGAAACTGCAAAAAAAAACATTGCAGGGGTGGCCATCTTACCCTTCAAAACTGTTTTATCATCTCTCAAGAGGTTAATTTAGGTTTGCTTCTTTCAAAGAGAATAGAGGAAACTCGTTAACAAATGCAACCACATCCCACACTCCAGAGCTGGATGGAAATGCCAATTTTAAGCTTCAAAGCAAAGCCCAGGCTGAAAGCTGCAAAGCTGATCTATTAATGTGATCAATTCATACAACAAAATGTATGAATATGGCCACACACTGTTATAAAATAAAACCAGGCTTAACAGTATTTTGTGTGTTTCACACCAATCTGAAAGCAGCTATTTGCTTGTGGAAGGGAAGAGCAGGACAACAGGCTCTACTTGTTTGCATCTCAAAATCCCCAGTGACACTATTAAGTCCTGTATCTCCCCTTTCTGGCTGATATCTACTGACCTGAACGTGCAATTGAACACACAGTCAAGAATAAGAGGAAAGATGAAAGCAAAAATTCCCACCTCTCAGACTGGACTCCATTCTTTAAGGAAGCAATGTAAGTTTTCTTCTTTTCTACAGGCATCACATCCACGAAACCACCCCTTTCATCGGGGATGACTCCTGCATGCACTGCAGCTTTGCAGATACTGGAGCTCTGGAAAATAAATAATTATTTCAACTAACAGAATGTCTATATTTTACATCTGGAGCTTCACTGTCTCCATCAGCATCCAGGAAAACCAGAGAGTTAAAAAAAGGAAGAAGTTATATATATAGAAAAGATGCACTATTTTTAAAAGAGTGGAATGAAAAAGCCACAAAACAATTCTTTGTCCTTATGGACAGACTAGGGATAAGAGATGTCATGGGCCAGATCTTGCAGGTATGACATAAGCCCTGGCTTTAAGAAGATCCACCACCCCTGCAGAGGACAAGCAGCCTTTCCACCACTCCCTTCTGTGGTGGAGCTGTGCCTGGGAGACTATCCAGGGCTGAAGCTGACTTGAGGGCAACTTCCCAGCCAGTGCCTCTTGGGTCTGCACCAGCAAAACCGCTGTGGTGAAACTCCTTGCTAGTGACCAGCCACCTCAGCAAAGTTTATTCACCCAGTTGCCTGAAAAACAGACACTGTTCCTGAATTAAGGTAAATGACCACCAATTATGCAGGGTACTTCACATCCTTCTTTCTAGGAAAAACAGAAGGGCTGCACCCTCTGAGCTGTGTAGCTTTTGGACAGGCATTAGCCCATAAGACAACACTGAGTGCAGGGGAGATTAACACTTCTGAAGAGACTGAAGCTGCTTTATTGCCCATCGTGCTGCTAACCCTGCTCTCCAAGATGCCCAGAGTCAGAAGAGCTGGAGGAACACAAAGCACTAACAACTGATGGGTAAGATCCCCAAGCATCCAGAAAAGAGAGCAAAAGCAGAGAAGGCTGAAGAATAGTACCAACTTGGCCACCAGTCCTCTAGAGGATTCATACACAGCAAGCTGGCATAACAAAAAGCACAAACCAGCTTTGCACAGGGAATGGCAGCAGATAAAAAATCCAAACCCCATAAACTCCTTGATTTCTAAAAATGAAAGTACCATAAAGCCACCACCAAGGCCAAATTTCCCCTTGCGTGAGCACAATACAGATTGTGCTGTTTCATTCTTGCAGCCATATATGGCAGGTTTGCCTTGTCCCCTATATATTTATCACTGTGGATAGCCTATCTCTTGGCAGCTCTCTGAGTTCCAAGTGCCAATTTGGTGGTTTGCTTCTATATATGGTCAAGGGAATGCTGTGTTTGGAAGATACGCTGTGAATTCTCCCTACTATGTGGTGGGAAACCTGTAAATCTAAAGTTGGCTCATGAAATTTAACTGTCTTGAATCAATTTGCACCACTCTCCACTGGGAGACATCCTAAACAATATTATTTTCAAGGCATTCCTGTTGGGTTTTTTTTTCCAGGACTCACTGTTCTGCTGCTTACTCAAAGCTTTCACCAACAGGCTTTTTATTGCCTCACCCCAAACCTCCCCTTATCACTCTGTTGGATTGCAGCCCTCTTGTATCCCAGGCTTTGCTTTGCTTTGATGAACTGATTGCAGAGCTTTTGGAAGATGAGACATCAAGAGAAGAAAGTCCTTCCCCTCATATTGTGCAGTACCACAGCTGTATGGGCAACACAACAGCTTTCCAGGGGGTAGCTCCTGGGGATGCTCCAAGACCTTTCCCTGACAAAGTGGACTCTGAGGCATGCACCATAAAATGACAATACATTATAGTGGGCCATTAGTAATAGGCTGTGACTATGGGTTTAATCACCAATCATTTCCTCATTAGTGTGATTGGTTTAATCATTAAGTTCTATCTCCTGGGAGCTGAGCTACCCAACTTGGTTCACTCTGGTGATAAGAGCCTGCCTCATTATGTCAAAGAATCATGGAACTGTTTTGGTATGAAAAGACCTTTAAGTTCAACAAGTCTAACCAAAGTTTGCCCAGAACTGCCAAATCTGCCTAATCCACCACTAAACCATCCCTAAGTCACATCCCATTATAGATGCTCTATCCTCCTCCAAATAATTGTTGCACAATCGTGGATAAAAGATCAAACCCTCCCTCTGCATTTGTGTGTCAGTATCTGCAAGGTTGACTTTCTAAAGAGTTTGTCTCAGCTTGTTACCATATCCACAATCAGTGCTGCTTGTTGAGAGACCAAAGTGGCAGATATTGCTGCTTGTGTCCCTTTTCCTACCCCTGCTGCCTGGTGGCACTGCTCGGGTCCCTTCAGTCATCTTTGCTTCTGCACCTGTGAAACAGGTGTAATTGAGCCTCCTTGCTCCCTCCTTGACCTTCCTTACTCCTCCTTTCCCTTGGACATTAGGAAGAAATTCCTCACTGTGAGGGTGATAAGACACTGGCACAGGTTGCCCCATCCCTGGAAGTGTTCAAGGGCAGGTTGGATGGGGCTTGGAGCAACCTGCTCTGGTGGGAGGTGTCCCTGCCCATGCAGGGAATTGGAACTAGATGATCTTTTTTTTCCTAACCTAAACCATTCTGTGATGCTATTAATATCTCTTAAAACATCTTACAATATCTTACAATAAATGCAGTCCAAGATCATTTTATGATGATGAGTAAAAAAAACCCCAATCAAAATGCATTTAAAGTACATTAAAAATCCTTAACTGAGATAGTGATGCCTGAATAAGAAGCAAGTTTATCTCACAAAAACCTGCCAATTGTGAATGTGGCAGCTTTGTTCTTCATGGCAAAACCATTTTCCCCATGCCTTTCTAAGATCATATAAACATGAGAACTAACTTGGGCCAAAACCACAGTGAATCAGGTCCAGTTACCCAGACTAGCCAAGTGTTTTGGTCATCATAGCTTGGACTATCAACTCCTTACCTGCCAGGGAATTTAGCAAATGGATGTTTTGGAGAAGTTGTTAAAAGGTCAGAGGGCACCTTGCAGGGAGCGTGGGCTGGAAACAAGGCAAGATGCTTCATTTTCTTTTAGAGAACTCATTTAAGATGACAAAGTCAGGGCACAAGTCCCCACAGGGCCATGACTCTAGATGTGAAGCCAAGGAGCCCTCCCAGAAGACTAACATCTGTCTCTTCCAGCTTATTCTCTGCATTAATTATTCCTTGGCCACGGGCTGGGGTTAATTCTCAGCATCCCCTCCTGGAGAGGATCCTGCACAGCCCGTGCTCCCTGGGAAAAGCCTTTGCCCAAGCTCTCCACATGCCACACATGTTTCTCTTGTCAGCTTTCCAGCTGTAGCATTTCTCAGCATCCACAACCTCTCCCTTCTCAGCATGTTCCACAGCCTCCCCAAACTCCTCTCTCCCTGCTGGTTTCACCTGCTTTGCTACCAACCTCACACTTTCTCAAAAACCTAAACCCTTCCCTTCTTACACTCACACCACACTATTAATAAAGTAATCCAGAAAAGGCTAACCAAACCCTCTAGGAAGTGGCCAAATATTGTAATGATTATTTTTTTTTCTATTTTCTTTCTCTCCCAAATCACAGTCCATGCCCTCATTTATGAAACAATACCCAGGGGCCATGGTAGGAAATGGACTTTGTGATTCATTACAGGACATTGATCCTTTTGCGTCAGTGCAAAGCAGGAAACAAAGCCAGCCTGGGATGCTGCTCCTCACCTAATATCCTTGTAATCACAGTGTTCTGGGGTGATCTGAGGCAGTTTTGTCCTCAGCAAAAGAGAGAAAACTATTTCCCATTTCCTGCAGGTGGGAGCATGCACAGAGGCAGGTACCACAAGGTAGCAGCTGCCCCATGGATTTGCATGAGCTGGTCCAGGCTAACCTGTTTGTGCAGCTCTGCCTTCAAAAAAACAGGTTTAGAGTAAAACAAAGAACGGGATTATTTTAATTTTTTTTGTTTAAAAAAATTGCTTTCATCATTTCTTGCCCCAAATTAATGTCTGATTTCTCCAAGATTACTTTTCTTGGGAGTTTGCAAAGCTCCACACCACAGCCCTGAGCTGGGGTCTGGGATTTTTGCTGCCTGCTTTCCCCCCCTCTAGGCCTTCAGAAAGCACATTCCTACAGACTGCCAACCAGAAAGGGAGCTGCAGTTTCCAAAGGCATTCTCTGATGGGTAAAAAAAGAGAGAAAAAGAACAAAGAAAAAAATATAAGGAAAAAAAGACAAGAATTTTAAAAAGAGGCACTACAGGTAGAAAAACACTGAAACCCAGTTTCTACAGGCCTCATACTAAGAGATTAAAAAAACAAACCACACATTACTCTTTGCCTCATTTTAACATCAAGTCTCTGTTCATCCTCATGAGCAGAGTATAGAAAAACAAAGCAATAAAACCCACTCACATGCTTTCTTTCCACTGCTCTGTGCTGCCTCCTGACTGCTCCCAAACACCCTTCAGCCCCCAGGAGAAGGAGGAAAGGGGGAACAAAGTCTATTTCTGCCAACTCCACAGTGTGATAGCACATAGTAAAAGCCCTTTGGTGCTCATCTGTGGGCCCCAAACCCCTTTGCCAAGGCAGATGAGCAGATGGTTTCACAGTCACAGCCCCCAAGGCACAGGGCAATGAAGTGACCTGCCCGAGTCATAGAATGGTGAAGGTTGGGAGGGACCTTAAAGATCATCAGGTCCCAACCTCCCTGGTGTGAGCAGGGACACCTCCCACCACAGCAGGTTGCACAAGTCCTCATCCAACCTGGCCCTAAACACCTCCAGGGAGGTGGCAACCTATTCCAGTGCCTTACTACCTACATGGTGAAGAATTTCTTCCTAATATCTAACCTAAATCTCCCCTCTTTCAGTGTAAAACCCTCACCCCTATCACTACACTCTCTGGTGAAGAGTCCATCAAAGTCAGTGCCAGAGGGCAGAGGAGCATCCCAAGCCTGCTGACCCCAAACCTGGTGTTGCAGCAGTTGAATTTTATTGGTGCTGCTTCTTCCTTCATCCCCATTTACCCCACCCCACATTGCAATGGTCATGGGGAGCTCCAGTCTCTTCCCTAAACTGCACAATTTGACCCTGGCTCTGAGACACAGACCTGGTGCCATGCAGGGAGACCAGGGAAAGGAGCATACTCACATCTGCATAAACATTGGTGCCAAACACTGGTGCCCAGTACGATGGCTCATCTCTACAGTGGGCTGGACAATAAACCCTAGAAAACAATTTATTCATATTTATTCTCTATGTCAAGGCTCAACAGGAAAGCAAGCTGCATTCTTGGGAGATTTCAAGTGCCTGCATCTGGTCTGCAGGTGGCAACAGTGAATTTAATTATGTGTTCCCCTCAGATGACATTTGGTAGCTACTGCAGGTCTGCAGAGGGGGTTAGACTGGTGACTGAGGGATTGTTCTCCTGTGACTTTTCCAAAGGGAAGTACCTGTATTTTTGCATAATGCTGTGCATGTAATTATTTGCACATGTTTGTGCCCCCCCTGCCATGAACTACAGCTGCACAAAGCAGCTTTCTAGAGCCAACTTCTTCCAGGTTTTAAGGTGGAAGGCAAAACCACATCCAAAACCCAACAAGTGCAGGAGAATAAAGGAAGAGCATGGCATTGCATGCTCACCCACAGGGGGTGCTGAGATGGGATCACGTTGCCTGACTTGCATGTAAATGAAGTGGTTCAAAAACTTTACATGAAGTTTCTACCTCGACGCCAAGAAAAGCACAATGGCAGGAAGAAACACACCATTCCCAACCCCCTCCTCTGATAAAATCAGCTTCATTCCCACTAGCCCTCAGGTCTGGGGACCTCAGCACCCTCCAGCCCCAGAGCAGAGCAGGTTTAGGCTGAACACAAGCAGGTTGGTGCTTGTTGCTTGCAGGTACCTTGGGCAATGGGTCGCTGGCTTCTTGAACTGGCAGAGCTCAGCTACTGTAGTATAGCAGTCCAGTGTCTGTGCTGAGGGAATAAACACAGAGAGGCAAATTACTTGACCTAGTAGCTCAGGCAGCTGCAGAAAACACAAGTGACGGTCACGCAAGGCAGCTGGTGAGACCCATGTCCAGCTGAGGCCACCAGCAGGAAAGCTGCTCCCTCCTTTCCCAGGAGAGGGCTGACCAGCTCTCCAGCAGAAACTGCTACCAGAACACAGCCTGGCCCTTAAAACACCACAGATTTGAAAAGAGAAAAGCAGCTGAGCCACAAGACTTTGTATTTTTGCTGCTGCTTCAGGTGGGGAGTCCAAACAACTAGAGAACTTGAGTTTCCCCTGAACTTGGCTCAAGTGGATCTCATAAAAATAATGATTACATGGAGGAGGAGGAATTATTCAAAGATATTCAGAAATTGTTTTTAAAAGTGCAGCTCCACATTATTTATTTATAAGCTCATCATAAATGTAATGACTCACTATTATAAACTCATTTTGCATGTATGATGTGTTTCATTACACTATTGCACTATTGTATTAGGTACTTATTATTATTTTTTGCAGTGTTCACACTGAACTGAGGCCTTCATACAAGGGTGGCTCATCTTCCATCACTTTGCTATCAGCAGCTTGTGACACTGCAGCTGGTATTTGGACCTGACCGAGATCCACCACCAGCAGATGCTGTGGGAAATGGCCCATTATCCCATTTTCTGTGCCTTCCTCCTAGAAGCCCACAGAAAATGAGGTGTTTGATGGTAGAATTGCCCACGGTGGGTGATGGATCACCCACTCTAGGGTTTAGTTGTGGTACTGAACCATTTGACATGACCACTTAAAACGAAAGAGAGGACTGCAAGGTATTATGTTTCCTAGTATCCCATAAAACTCTAGGAAAAATGGCTCCTTTTCAACTTTTAAAACTTACTTGTGACTTTGGAAATCATGAAGGCATTTGATGGTTTACTTTTCCTGCAAAACAAGCAAACAAAATAATTTATTAGAAGAAGAAATGTCTACATATGAGTTCCAAAGATGACTGAACATCTGCTTGTTCTTAAAATAAACACGAGCCCATTCAAATGAAGACAGTACCTGAAAGACTCCACCCCATTCCTGGCAGACTTCACAAAACCTGCTGTCCTCCCTTTCCTGGTGATATCAACCAGGCCTCCTTTGTTGTCCAGGATGCCATAATGGATGGCAGCACGGCAGATGCTTGATGACTGGCAGGAGCACAAAGACAAAGAGCATGTGAAATTAATCTCATTCCCAGAGCAGCCCTGACCAACCGCTCTGCAAGAAAAGAAGGAAGAAGAAATGAAACCACCACCAAAGCGCCAAATGGAAAATAAGCTGAGTACACCCCTTTGGAATCTGGTCATTAAATCTTACACAGCCTTTTTTTTTTTTAGTTTTACTATTATTTTAAGCACTGCTTGGTTGCATGGCAAGCTTGTTTTTTTTTTTCCCCTTCTTTTTTTAATAACAAAACCGTACGTTTAGAAACAGTTGAGAAGAAAAGCAGCGTCGGGAACGAAGGACCAGCATGAAATATTTCCAGTTCTCAATAAAACAGTCAAACCCAAAATATTTCTGCTGAAAGCACTTGGAGGAGGGGGCTGTCTGCAGGCACAGGAATTGCAGGGCATTGATGCACCACGGGCGATGCAGCCGTGCAGCAACAGGGAGGAGGGGGAAAGCAAACGTGCTCTTACACAAACCCCCTTTTATCTTCAACCTTTCTTCACCCCAGAAGTGGCTTTGATGGGAAAACAGTGCCATGCTTTATTCAGATATTGTCTTGCTAACTCAAGATCCAGCAAATCATCCCAAAATATTATCTAGTTACAATATGGAAGAGTGTTTTTGGTATAGAACTTCAGTCCAGCATGACAGCTGCCCACACCAAAGAAGGGATGTTTGTAAGATCTGTCATCAGTCCCCATCCCTCACTTTCCACAGGTTTCTTTGCTCATTAAGGGCACTCTTGATAAAATCACGTCTGGAATCACTTTGCTTTTCCAAACCTCTCTGTTTTTTCATCACTTAGATGCGGAAAATACAGATAATCTGTATTAGAACCAATTGACAGCACCATAAGTGGAGAATAGGAGAAGCCAAATTACACCAGAATTGTTGGCATTTCCCCTTTCTGTTACTGTTGCTGCCTCCCCACAAATTACATCTATGAGCTATTAAAAGGTACTTACACTCTCATAATAAAATGTTCCAAAGATCTTTCCCTTACTGTACAAGCAGCCAGCTGGGCACAAATACCTAGTAAAGATATATATCTTTGAGGGTGGCAAAAAAACAATTCCAGAAAAACAGACTTTGACTCTATTTAATTTAATAGTCATTCCATTCATTTCACGTAACTCTTCCATTTAAAAACAAGATTGCAAAATAGCTACTTTTTAAAACAGTTTCTCCAGTCTCCCTAAAAGCCTGACCAATATTTAGATTCTGTGGATTTGATTTTTCTCCAAGTGATAAACTGTCCTGTTCCTTGCAGAAACCTTAACCAGAAGTTCTTGACTGGCTGGGAGGGGACAAGGCATGAATTATTGGTCTGGCTTGGACAGTGGTGGAATGCATGAAAAATGATTCTGCCAGAATTTATTAAACTATTTTGGATACCTGAAACTGCAGGTCACCATGGCTGAATAAAACAGAGTCACCTCATTGCTAGTCTTGGCTGGGGGCTTTGTATTAAGAGAAATGAAGGCTTTTTAAAATAAATAAATAAATAAATAAAATAAATAAATCTAACTACATAGTCACAAAAAATATGCAGTATTGCCTATCCTGTGTTGGCAAGAACTGGACAATTTTTAGGCCACTGTTTTCTCTGCAGCCCTCTAAGAGGTATCAATAAAATGTTACCTGTTACACGTTGAGCCTCTGCATTTGTCTCTCATCTTGGTTTCACAGGTAATGACTTGTGCTGGGGAGGATAAAAAATAAAATAGATATTTTATAAAGGAAAGAGTCAGTCATGGCCTCCTCTGGAGCTGCAGAGATGAGCAACCACTATGCATCTTTCCTGGAGGTCTTTGGTGCAGCAAGACAAGACCTTATCACAAACCAACCCAGCCTGGAGCAGTTTGTGCCTCTTTAGCTGTCCACCTGAGACAGGTGTTTTTGGAAATAGTAGCAAGGCAGAAACACCTGAGAGCTGAAGGCTTTGATTTACAACCCAAGGTCTGCAGCCAGAGCTCTCATTCTCCATTTAATTACAGACTCTCCAGATGCTGCAGATGAACTTGAAAAGGACAAGTTGGCTTGCCTCACCTTGTTTTCACAATAAGGTTCTTTTAATTACCAGCCATTAGAAAATAACTGAGGAAGTTCTAACCAGCTCCACAAATAATTTCAGTAATCCTCCCAAGCAAGAAATAAAAAAGAAACAAATTTTTTAAACCCCAAAAGCTGCAAAGGGAGTAAATGCTGAGGGTGGAGTATTTAACATGAGTATTTAAACCAGTATTTCCTAAAGTGATTGCTGAACTGGGGAACTTCAATTCCTAAGTACTTGCCTGAGATGTTACAAAGAACAAGTAACTCTTGCAGACTGACATGCAGAAGGCACGAGTGGCTTTTGAAATCTTTTCTCCCTGCTTCTTGCAGGTTTCTGCTACCATTAAGGCTGGATTTTTGCACAGGTTACCTCCCCCATCACTCAGACAACCTCCCAGTTATTTTTTCCCTGAGCCTCCTCATCGATCCCCACACCTTTTGCCATCCTTAAAACTTAAAGGAACTGAAAAAGCAAGAGGTTTTCTTACTCATGTAGGATTCTGGGGTGGTTTTCTTGGGCTTGATGGATTTGCTGGGCTTGCTTTGTGGAGGGTGGAACCGCACGGGATTTTGCTCCACGACCTGTGAAATCTCCACTTCGTTTGTCTCGTCTGT